CAACGGGTCCGCCACAAGAGTATCATGGAGGTGAAGGACCGGTGAAACATCGGGAACGAACTTACCCGCTATCTTGCGGATACGCTTCCAGATCTGGGCCAGAGGGGTTTCGGACGTAATCGTTGAGACATAAGATGCCCAACATTCACGTTTAGCCGTACGGATGGCCCTACGGGCCACAGCACTCGCTTTCCGAAAGAAAAGAAAAGAATCAGTCGTCTGCCTACGGCGGTGCCTCTTCCAGGCTGCACGCTTACAGCGGACAGCCCGAGCACAGTCCGCATTCCACCAGGGAACGCACTTCCGTGGACCCCGAGAGGAAGAGCGAGGAATAGAGCGGAGGGCAACGTTGAAGACAGTGTCATGAAAAAGGAGGAGAGCGCGAGAGAGAGGCAGAAGGGAGAGGTCAGAGAGAGCAGCACTGAGGGTAAATAGGGTCCAGTCTGCCTTAGCAAACTGCCACCTAGGGAAAGAGAGGGAAGGGCGAAAAGAGAAAAAGGAAACAAGGATGGGGAAATGATCACTTCCATGGAGGTCATCAAGAACCTGCCACGTGAAATCTAAGTAAAGAGAAGAAGAGCAGAGAGAAAGATCAAGACAAGAAAGGGTGCGAGTCCGAGAGTCCAAATGAGTGGGCTCACCAGAATTCAGAAGAGACAGGGAAGAAGAGAGGAGAAACGGCTCAAGGAGGCGACCCCGGGTATTCGTCAGAACGTCACCCCAAAGAGAATGACGACAATTGAAGTCACCCAGCAGGAGCACAGGCTCCGGCAAGGAGTCTAGGAGGTGTTTCAAATCAGGAAGAGAGAGCGGGACACTCGGGGGGAGATAAATGGAACAAACTGTGTACCATTTCCCCACAAAGATACGAGCAGCAGAACAATGGAGAGGCGAAGGAAAAAGTAAAGGAACAAAGGGAACATCAGCCCGAATCAAGAGAGCAGAAGAATTAGAAGCCCCAGCAATGGCTGGGGGGGGGGGAGAGAAAGGAATAGCCACGAAAACGACCAGGACGAGCACCAAGCATTGGCTCCTGGAGACAGACACAAAGGGGCGAAAACCGCGAAATCAGAAGTTGGAGTTCGAGGAAATTGGCATAATAACCTCGAACGTTCCATTGAAGAATGGACAACGACGAGAAGAGAAAGGACAAAAACAGAGAACAAGGAAGAAACAAAGGCGAAAGAGCAACAGAGCACGTTAAAGAATATCAGGGTCGGGATCAGGGTCAGCAAAGTCAGGGTTAGGGGGCATGGGTAAACTGAGCAAAGACGGAGGGAAGGAAACGGGAGAACAGATCAGAGGCGGGCGGGCAGGGTCCGGAGGAGGAGGAGGAGGAGGAGGAAGAGGAGGAGACAACGGAGAGGAGCAGTCAAGGACAGCAGCAGGAAGAGGGGGAGTAGAAAGAGGGGAGCGCACCCCAGCAAGAGCAGCAACCGAAAGGGAAGCAGGGGCCAAAGAAACCTCCATAGCAGGAACAGGGGGCGCAAGCACTGAAACGGGAGGGGAAGGAGCAACAGAGCCAGAAGGAGGAGCTGAGGAAGAAAGCGAAGCCTTCTTACCCGCCGGGGAAGAGGAAGGAGAGGAGCCAGGCTTACGCTTCTGACTTAAAGAGACCGGTGTCCCAGCAACTACGTACCGGGCAACGGATTCCAGTGTCTCAACAGGAGAAGCCGAACGAGAGCACACACGACGGCCGTTAGGAGAGCGATGGACATCCGCCCGCACCGACAGGCGGTGGGGAGAGCCGATAGATGGAGGAAGAGGATGGGAAGGAGGATCGGAGGGGGACGAGGAAGAAGACACAGAAGACACGACAGACCGGGTAGAAGGAAGGGGAACCCCAGACAGAGGACCAGGAGGAGGATCCTTCGGGAGAGAACCCAAAGGAACAGAGGAGGGGGCAGTGGGCGCATCAGGGTCTAAGGCCCGGAAACAGTTGTGAGTCTGAGGAAGGCGGGAAGGACGAGGAGAGGAAGAGCGCAACACGCGAGCATAAGAGATATTAGCATAAGGCGGGAGCCGGCGAACCTGGCGCCTCGCCTCAGTAAAAGATAAACGCTCCCGGTGCTTCAAGTTGAGGACGGCTGCCTCAAGCTTGTAATGGACACACGCACGGGAGAAGGTAGGATGGGCCTCACGGCAGTTGAGGCAACGAGCCTGGGGAGAAGTGCACTCCGACTTAGAGTGACCTTCGCCACCACACAAAGGACAGAGAGAGACAGTCCCGGAGCAGCAGAGGGCACCATGCCCAAACCTCCAGCACTTGTTGCAGAGCCGAGGAGAAGGAATGTACTCCTGGACAGAGCACCTGGCACCAGCAAGAATGACAGAGGGTGGAAGGGTCCTACCATCAAAGGTAATCTTCACAACCCGGAGGGGTTGACGGCGACTACCACGAGGGGGACGAGTAAACGTGTCCACCTGGAGAATAGAATGGCCCTGGGCAGCGAGGATATGTCGAATATCGTCGTGGCAGTCGTGCAGGTCCCGAACACCGGTCGCAACATGGGGCGGGAGCAAAATAGTGCCAACACTGGCATTCAACTGAGCGTTCTTCGAGACCCGAACGGGGGTCTCGCCAAGGCAGGATAAGGCAGCCAAGTGGGAAGCAGCATCCTGAGAAGGAGCAGCAACGACACGTGTACTGAGACGAGTGGGGTTGAAAGTAATGGAGGCATCCACGGAATCAATGAGATGTCGATGGAGGGAGAAATCGTCAGGAGGCGCAGAATCAAGAGGGAGAAGATCAAAATATTTGGCCCACGAAGCGGGACCAAACAAGGCTTGATAGGTAGCAGAACTGGAAGGAATCGAGCGAGGGCGGCCGTGACGAGGACGGCGGTGAGAACCCCCAGAGAGAGAGGGGTTAAAAGGCGCAGTAGTTACAACTAGAGAAGGAGCCGCGCCAGGGGACGAGGTAGTCACCACTGGGGGCTTGGGGCTCGACCCAACCACAGAGGAGGGAGGGGAGCCAGGGGAAGGAGTCAGAGAGGCCAAAGGAGGAGCAAGGTCGGGGCCCAATGCAGCGGAGGCTACAGAGCCCGGTCTTCCAATACGGACCGACTCGGAGGCTTGGTCGCCCACCCCACGTGCCTGAGAAGGTAAACCAGAAGAAGCCGAAACAGGGGTTATCATCTTGACGAAAAGAAGAATTCATTCACGAATGTGCCCCCACACCCACCATGGAGCCACAATTAGAGGCAGGACACCCAACAAGAAGCTATCGCCGATCTTGTCGGGGCCTCCTAGGGGTGCGTCGCGAGTATACGCCACCTTAAGAAACCGACAGTCCGTCGAGATCGGGTTCAGTGACGAAAGGGGGATTGACAATAAAAGGTTCCCCTCGCTCTCAACGTCGGGTACTACAGTTCTACGGGTGCAAGAGTATGCCTCCTCAAGCACCCGGGCGTCAAAATAGAAGAAGTCCAAGGGAAGAACCAGAACGAGCAAAAGGTCGGCAGGAAACGGCAAGCAGATAGGAGAAGAGGGGGGAGAAAAACGAAACAGAAGGAAAAGGAAAAGATGCCCAGCAGAATTGGAGAGGACGGCAGCAGGAGCACAAGGATAGAAAAGGACAGAGGACTGTCCTAAGGAGCATCACACTCTGGCAGCCGCCCACTAAGCTCCCACACGGCGACAACGAGCTGAGCGGGGAGGGGGAAGGTAGCCCAAGCGAAGCGTGTGATTCACCACCACCCAAAACTTTTTACTCTTTTTAGCTTTCTGACCTCAGTTTTCATGCAACAGTATGTCGTTCAATTTGGTATCAAATTGTATGCAACAGAATATTGCAAAGGGATATTTGCATATAAGGACATATAAGTCTCACTTTTCTATACTTTCAATGAAAACCCAACAGCTTTTCCCTCTTATGTGTTTCTTTCACTGCTTTCATCATGGATTGGCTCTGTTCTTGATCCATATCCACCTGAAAATCAATTTGCAGTGTTCATGAAGCTGGTAACAACAAATACCTGAGTTAATATAACCAGAATGGGGAGGGGGAAACGTTTTGACTCGAGGGGAGGCTGCAACCGTCTCAAGCAAGGTCACGAGAACAGTGAGCCTCCAGCGTGGGTGAACAGCTACACAGCACGGTCAGGATGATATACAGGAGTAGGATATACAGAGAAATGGAAGAAGTTGGCGCTCATTTTACAACAAGTCTCATAGTATTCGGACAATAAATGGAATTTTTACAAATTTTTGAATTATTGACACCGTTTGCATCATCCTGCATACTCCATATATTGGTTTTATGACGGAATATGTGGCATTAGTCAGCTTAAGTGTAAAACTGTGTTACCATCATGGTGGGCAAGCCATCCTAGTGAAGCCTAGTTCTTCGTGTCAACGGGCACTTTGGATGAAGAAATGGGAGCAGTCATACTTTACTTGCCACAGGGGCACAGCTGGGTTCAGGGAACTCTAACCCTGTGGGCAATTAAGGTGCTCCCATTGGGTGAACAGTGGCACCAAAGGATGGGGAGTAAGATCCAAGAGGAGTGCTAGAGGGGGAAGAGTGATGTGGCACTAGTGGACTGCTATACACCAAACTACTATTATCTCACTCTACATACTCTAGGCTCCACCACAACCTCCAATTAAGAACACAAGCTTCAGACAATGAGAGATGAGAGATGTTGGGAGATGAGAAGGTGAATATCAGCCATCATTGTGTATGTAGGAGGCCTATGAACAGTTGAGCAAATGGCTGGGATGTGTTAACAGTTGTCCAGGTTACCTGTTTCAGCATCAGTATTATGGAGGATCAACTGGTATACACTTAGATATGTATATACAGTACTGTATATTCCAATGACCCTAATAGATATTAGAGTCAAGGGAATAATAAGGACTTCAAAGTAATTTATAAACAGCTATCACAAAGAAAGAAGGGTTTGACTAGTCAAAATAATTTGTAAAATATTGAAAATATTTAAAAATATTTATTATGAAGAATGGTATACTTGCCAATCAGGATAATGAAATGCCTCTAGCATTCTAAAATATCTTTATAGTCATGACAATCCTTTAGGGCTATCTCCAACCGAAGTAATGTGAAAAATGATGATCATTCCTATGCAAGAGTTTAATCTCATATATTATGAGATTATAACTGAAGCATTACTATTATGTTAAATTGTAGCAAGGTGGTCTACCTGATTTTCAGACTGCATTTCAATACTTCATGTGCTAAAATGTTGGATTGGAAAATGACATTGGTGCCTATGTATTGTATGAATTCCATGCCAATTTTAACTCCTCTCTAACAGCCTCATCCCAGTGGTCTTAATTAAAGTATTTATCCATGTTCGTTGGCCTAAATAGATTGTAAAAAAATGTATCCATGTTTGTCTGATTTTATGTAACAAAGACAACATTGATGAGGACTTTGTGCTCTTTCTTTGTTGACAATGGAAACACAAGACCTTTAATATTTTAAGCAGTTTCTCACTAGTTGTTTTAAAGTAATCATCACACTTGGTGATATGTGGAATGAAGCCACCACAAAAGTGGCAGTGAAAGAGGTTCTACAAGGTGATCAGGGAGATGTCAGAGCATTACATACAGGGATGTTCCTGGGCTGGTGCAGAGTCAGTGTTCTATACAAGTTTTTAAGAGTAAGTGGGAATTGTGGTATCAGGTGTAGAACAGCTAGCATGCAGAGGAAGAAGACTCATTGGCAAGGTCAACCATTACACAAATCTCGGCAGAAGAAGTACACCATATGAAATACAGAGAAGGCCTTCACAACCATAAATCACTACAATACTCAAATAGGGGGCTCCTACTTAAAACAGCTATCCATTTCCTACCTTTCAATAAGCCTTCATTTCACACTCCATGTAATACTACTAACAATTTCAAAATTCATCTGGAACTGGCAAAAGGGGTGCATCTTTTTTCTTTGTAAGTATACGTTTAAATGATTTTATTATATTAACTGAACAGTATTTTACAAAGTGAATTTCATGTATACTGTACAGAGTATAAAGTGCACTTGTTTGTATTTTGAGTGCAGTCTGAATTTATAATGATAATATATAACATGCTACACAGCACTGCAATGTACACAGTGCGAGTTCAGTCGTATCATATTGAACTGTAAAGTATGGTGTGATATCTCGTTTATATATACAAGAGTTTTTACATTCTTGTACAGCCACTAGTACTCGTAGCATTTCGGGCAAGTCCTTACTCCTATGTTCCTTGGAATACGACCCCCACGAAGAATCGTTTTTACAACCAAGTACAGTACCCATTTTACTGTTGAGTTAAACAGAGTCTACAGTTAGGCATTTGCGCCCAGTAAATCCTCCCCGACCAGAATACGGGGAGGATACATTGATAATCATAAATTATCAATGACCCATAATGGCTCTAGATCCCAATCATTGCAAATCAGGGAAACTCATTTATAAACAAATATTAATTGTCACAAAATGAATAAGGTATCCCTATTGGGAATACCTAATTACATAATAATTTCAGAACACTGATGTGAATTCTGTCCTGAATTAACTCTCTTATGTCGTAATAGAGTGGATTTTTTTGAGAAGGCTCTAAGACACTCTGAACACTGATATAATTTTTCTCCTGTATGTACTCTCATATGTTTGGATAGAGCAGATTTGTCTGGAAATGCTTTGGGACACATTGAACACTTATATGGTTTATCGCCTGTATGAGTTCTCATGTGTATTACTAAACTAGATTGAAGTGAAAATTCTTTAATACACACTGTACATTTGTAGGGTTTCTCTCCTGTATGAGTTCGCACATGTTTCAATAGTGCAGATTTTTCAGAAAATTCTTTAGCACACACTGAACACTGAAAGGGTTTCTCTCCTGTATGAACTCTCATATGTTTTATTAAATTAGATTTTCCTGAAAAGCTCTTCAGACACTCTGAACACTTGAATGGTTTCTCTCCCGTATGAACTTTCATATGTTTAGAGAGACCAGATGTCTCTGAAAACATTTTTAGACACACTGAACATTGATATGGCTTCTCTCCAGAATGAAGCCTCTTATGTTTTATTAAAGAAGATTTCTCTGAGAAGTATCTTGTACAAATTGAACATTTGTATGGTTTCTCTCCTGTGTGAACTCTCATATGAGAAGCTAGAGAACTCTTTTTGGAGAAGCCCTTTTGACAAACTGAACATGAATGTGGTTTTTCTCCTGTATGAACTTTAACATGGTTATCTAAAGTAGATTTTTGTGAAAAGCATTTTAAACACTCTAAACATGAATACGGTTTTTCCCCTGTATGAACTCTCATATGTTTCAAAAGAACAGACCTTTCTGAAAATTCTTTGAGACACTCTGTACACTGATATGGTTTTTCTCCTGTATGAACTCTCATGTGTTGCAATAGAACTGATTTGACTGTAAATCCTTTTTTACACACTGAGCATAAATATGGTTTTAGTCCTGTATGAATACTTTTATGCTTTACTAGATTACCCTTCTGTGAAAATGATTTATGGCATTCTGAGCACTGATATGGTTTCTCACCAGTATGAATTCTCATATGAGTTAACACATTAGCATAATTTGTAAAACCTTTGAAACACTCTGAACATTGGAATGGTTTTTCCCCTGAATGAACTCTCATGTGCTTATCCAGATAGGATTTTGCTGAAAAATTCTTTGAACATTCTGAGCACTGATATGGTTTTTCTCCACTATGAACTCTCATGTGCGTTAAAAGATTACATCTCTTTGTAATAATTTTTTGACATATAGGACACTGCTGGTTCTCTGCTGCATGAATTTTCATATGATTGGTAAGGGAAGATTTTCTTGCAAAGTCTTTTAGACACTCTAAGCACCGGTAAGTTTTCTTTCCTGTATGAACTGCCATATGTCTCATTAAAGTAGACTCATCTGAGAAGCATTCTGGACACTCGGGACACTGATACGGTTCCTTTCCAATAACAACTTTCATTATGGGTAACTGGACTAGGTCACTAAGTTTCAGTGAAGAAGTTATAAAAGTCTGAATTTAAGCATTATTTGTCATTTGAATGAACTTTTAATTAAAGAAGACCTTTTTTTGAGAAACAAAAAGTAAAAGAATGAATTGCAGTAATTCCTGAAGACATTTTCATGTTATAAAAATATATATATGTATAAATATATTTTAACATAAATATAGATTACACCAATAGTTTCTTATTCTGAACACAGACACAGATAATACTTGAATACCTATTTTTAAAGTTTAAGCACTATATACACTGATAATTGTTTTGTATGAACCGTAATGTATTTTACAAGTAGATGGTATCCAGCAGTGGGGCACTAGTGATGTCTTGCCAGAGTACAAGAGTGCCAAGGCTACATGATGCAGTGTACAATGTCTAAATGAAACACTCCCAGAGATCTGTGGAAAATCCAAGACAAACACATCTCAGAGTATATCAAGATTTGTCATCATATTACTATAAACCAGTAAAATTACAAATGAACACCATACTTTATAACATTTACTTTATTTACTATTATAAACGTCTTAAAACAATACTGCAACAGGTTAGAATGTTATTAATTGTAATCTATTATTATACATTTATGTTAATGTTTATTAGGAATATCAAGAGATTTCTTACTTAGTAAATAAATATTGTATTATTCTAGCTTAAGATGTAATGTAATGAATGGTATATAAAGTCTAGCTTTTATTCTTATTACTGCTGTAAATGTTTCTCTTAGTTAAAATACTATTTTGTTTTTAGTGTGATAATTTTAATGTTTCATTTGTGTTTGAGTGTAAGTATTAGTAAATGTAATTACCTGTGTAGTTCCAGGATAATAGCTACGCTCATGGTGTTCTATCTCCCCAGTACTCTTTATCGTATATGTGGATGATTCTGAATATGTAAAGTTTTCACAGGCATTTTTGTGAAAGGATCTTCCCTGCACTCCAGGATGACAGTGTGGTCAGAGACTCCACACACACACGTTGTGTGGTGTGTGCTTGTGAGGTCATTGACTTCCATTAAATCTGAATAACTGGAACTTTAACCTCCGTGCCGCACCCGTTTATTGTGACATTTTGGTGGTGCACTGAAAATAAAGTGTACCCCCAATTTTTTCTTTGTCATTTGTTAAAATCCCTCCCCTGAACAGGTATATGCAAAAAAATATAAAAAACAACTTTGGCTATGGTGACGTGGAGAAGATGTGATGTGATGTCATTACAGTCGGTGCGCTCGTGAGTGAAGCTCCCAGAGGCGGTCACACAGGCGATTCAAGACTCGAGAATTGCCACAAATATATTTTCATTTATTTGTTCAATTCATTTTAAATTTCTAATTGTTTTTTATATCATATCTGATGCACATTTGTGTCCTTTACAATTTGTATACAGTAGAACGTTCATAATGTTCCAAGGAACTGTGATACAAGTGTCAGTAATGTGTCCACAAATAATATTTATTGTTGCAATATTACTTGTTCAATATTCAATATATTTACAATATGTACAATTTCACACACTATTTACACAGACATTGTATTACACACTCAGTACTGCAGAAGTGAGTGATATTCAAAGCAGCAGTCCATGAGACAGAGCGTGACTTTGCACTCGATGCACATGATACACAAAGATTTTTGCTTCCTGGTTTTTCATTATGTGTGCTTGCAAACAATGCACTCACGTACACCCTTGCCTTTAGTTCCTGTAGGTGGTATGTAGCCAAGCTTGAGAAGTGTACAGTAGTCATGAAAAGATCTAGGAAAAGTTCAATGTGTAAGGTTATCTTGAAAAGATCTAGGAAAAGATCAATTACAAAATTCTATCCTGGTATCTCATATCTGTCCTGGTATCACTCATATCTTCATCTGTATATGGAAAAGCGGGTGCAAGACCAGCATCAGAATCATCAAATTGTGATTTGTGTGGTACAAAATTATCACAATCCTACCTCGCAAATTCACCCGTGTCACCCTTGTAGTGACACCACCACCACTGGCATAAACACCACTATGGAAGTCGCTAACACACTGTTCATCTATGCTACTTGTATCGGAGGCATCATCACTGAACCAAGAAAACGATTCATATATAGTACAGTATCACTTTATTAAAAAATTAGAGATGACAGGGAGGAGTCGAGGGAGGTCGAGGGAGGGGGTAGACGTACCGTTAAAATTAAAATCGTGACATTAACAGGGATTCGTTGGACTACTGCCGTGGATTACTGATTACAGACATAACAAAGTGCATAGTGACCCGCTGGAAAATTGAAAATAGTCATTAACAATAGAACTTTGTGTTAAATAGAGAATAAACGGGAGACCACGTGTGAGCCAGTGAACGAGGCTTTGTGTACATGCGTGTATTAGAAAAAAAAAACAAAAAAAAATAGTGAACGGTGATTCGTGGAACAGTGATGTGGAACGGGTATCACAACAACATATAAGTTGGAAGTGAATATTATAAATATAGAATACTAGAAATATAGAATAGTGGCAAGAGGCGGCATCAGTGGTTATAAATTGGGTAACTGGAAACTGGTGACATCAACCTGGGCCACAAGAGGTCACCTGTACTGACCGGGGGACCAGCCTCGCTACCTACGCTAAGTACCTGCCATAAAGTTTGAACAAAATAACACACATAATATTACAAATATACGATATACATATAATATTATAATATTAAACATATATATATACATATTTATTGTTACAAATATACAATATACATATAATATTATAAATATATAGATATATACAACAAAACAAGGCAATATGGGAGTAAATAAACAAATTTGTGGCCACTGTAACAACTTCTTAAAGACGAAGGTAACGGGAATTGAATGTTATATCTGTAAGACTAGATTCCATTCAGCTTGTACAGGAGTAACACTACGGCACTGAGAGCTGGCCACTTGCTCTGGGTGTGTAAAAATGACCTGCCAGCTTGGAATATCCTAAAAAACCTTCTAGATAACATGACGCATGAACGGAAAACATCATTCATTGGAAGCCTACCAGCCATCCAGAAGGAGTGGGAAAGGAACAACAATTCTAATATACAAGGGGCGGAGGCTATAGTCAGGGATGAAACTGAGGCTGAAACTCAGGAAGTTGTAAACTCTGACTCAGTAGGCCAGGATGTAGATGACAGTAAACTAGAAAGTGTACCAGACAGCACTGACAGCTCGATAGGTACAGACACCACGACGGTTCTCGATAGAGCAATTCAGAACAGAAGGACAGACTTATGCAAATTTTATGCAAAGGGCATATGCAGACATAGATATGCTGGTAATAAGAAAGGATTAGAATGCAGTTACCAACATCCCAAAAAATGTTTAAATATGCTTAGGAAAGGTGAGTGTCGATTTGGATCAATATGTAGGTTTTTCCATCCTGACATGTGCCAAACCTCACTGGAGGACGGAAAATGCTATGACCTTAGCTGCCCACACTTTCACGTGAAAGGCACGGAACGCTACATAAAGAGTGGCAAGCAGGATAATGAATTTGGAGGAAACTCTGTAAATTTTTTATACCAGACCGGCAGAGAAATCAAAAGGAGCAGCATGGAGAGTGTATGGAACTGGATGCCAGATCCACTTGCATTCCAGAATTACAGATACAATTACCCACCGAAAGGGAACTACCACTACGACAGAAAACTGCCCTACAACAATCAGTACTGGTCAGAACAAACTCATTATGTCCATGATTAATGGACGTGCCGAAAAAGTCTCCCATTCAAACTATCACTAATAGAGTAACCTCATTCATCTTTACCAACATACAAGGACTGAAAACAAGAACAAACAACAAAGTACAGTTCATAAATGGCCTCCTCACGGAGTCAAATGCAGTATTTGGAGCTTTCACAGAAACCCATGCAGGGGAATTGTTGGACAGTGAGATCTGGATTCCAGGATATAACCTATACAGGTGTGATAGGAAAATTAGGTCACATGGAGGAGTGGGTCTGTATATTAGGGAAGACCTTATATGCTCGGAGCTCCTAAACGTTACAAATGAGGTGGTAGAGGTACTGGGATTAAAAATAGAGAAAATAAATTTAGTGATTATACTAATATACAAACCGCCAGATGCAACGGCTGAGGAATTCACAGAACAGATAAGCAAAATAGAGAATAGCCTTGATAATTTGGAGAACCCGATACCTGATATTATCTTCCTAGGTGACTTCAACTTGCCTAGTCTCAGGTGGAAAATAGCAAACAATAATATTATACCAGGAAATCTATCAGGACCTAACCAACCACAGATTAGAGAACTACTTAGATTCTGTGACAAATTTTCACTCAATCAGCAGATATCGGAGCCAACGAGAAATTAAAATATTCTAGATCTGGTCTTTACGAACAATGAAGACATTATCAGAGACATTACAATATCAGATACCACATACTCAGATCACAAACTCATTGAAGTGCAAACGACCATCAATACTCAGAATAGACCTAAAACGTTGATAAAGCGAGAGGGGCTATTCAGTAAATTCAATTTTAATAATAAAAGGATAGACTGGGAGATAATAAACAGCGAACTTACAAACATTCCATGGGGAACTGTTCTAAATAATACAAGTCCTACAGAAGGAATAGAAAAACTGACTTCAGAAGCGTATCAAGTCTGTCTGAAACATATGTTTCTTTGAGGAAAGCCAGAAAGAGATCTAACGTGGAAAGAGAACGCAGACGACACTATAAACGCAGGAAAAAAATAACGGAACTGCTTATGCAGACACGAATTTCCCGTCAAAGAAGGAATAATTTAAATAGGGAGATTGAAGAAATCGAGCGGAAATTGAAACACTCATATGAAACTGAAGAAAGGCCACTGCCAGTATTGGACCTATTCGTACAAGTGAAGGTTCATACACGGAGGATGACAAAGAAATTAGTGAAATCCTAAAAAAGCAGTATGAGGACATGTTTAGCACTCCAATAAACAACATGAAGGTGGAAGATCCAGACAATTTCTTTATGCGGGATATTCAAACCCCTGTAAATATAACTGATATAAACACGAGCGCACTAAATTTTGAAAAAGAAATTGAAAACATGCCCATGCACTCGGCCCCAGGTCCAGACTCATGGAATTCAATATTTATAAAGAAATGCAAAGTGCCGGTAGCACAGGCACTCAGTATAGTGTGGAGGAAGAGCTTGGACACGGGGGAGATACCAGATGCACTTAAAGTAGCAGACATAGCCCCTCTACACAAGGGAGGGAGCAAAGCATTGGCAAAAAATTATAGACCAGTTGCACTAACATCGCACATCATAAAAGTATTTGAGAGAGTGATTAGGAGTCAGGTCACCAATTTCATGGAGACCAATGACCTTCACAACCCAGGCCAACATGGATTTCGAGCGGGAA